AAGTGAGGTAACAGAGCTGTGTCTGCGTGAATTATACTAATCCACATTCGGATCTGCAAAACTCGTATCATCCGTATTCGGATGTACGGAACCCGACACATAAAGCTCCGGTCTCAACCAATTTGAACAAGTTTTCTTTACGGGATCTGTCTGCAGAGGATGCACTTTGCATTACGTGTATTACCGTTGATAACGTTGATAAATTCCACAAAGTTATATCACACCTGGCCTTGTTACGTCAGCTACTGCCTCAGGTAGGTCTATGTTGTCTGTGGCTGAGTATTTGTGAACGTTTGCACCAGTACGTATTGAGAAAAAACAACTTGACGGTTATTCCCGGGCAGATTGTCAAGACCTGATATCTGACTGAATTAAACATTTGGGCCAAGTGTTTGTGGGTTGTACTAATATACGCGCCACACGTAGGCCTAGAATGCATCATGATGTCACGAGGTTAATATCACCACATGAATGAATGATTATTTCAGATATAACTAACTGCAGTTATTGCAAGGAGGAAGGGGAGACAACTCCAGCTACAACTTGGTGTTCTGTGACGACGCACTGTGTGAACGATGTACACGGATGCACCAGCGAATTCCCTCTTCAGGTCACCATGGCGTAGTTGACCTGTCTGGTGAGACAAAGGTCAAGGTCAAGAAATAGGTCATGTGTAAAGTTCACAAGGACGAGAATCTTAAATATGTTTGCAAAAGATTGCAAAACAGCTGTTTGTCAAACATGTTGCATTATCCATCACAGGAAATGTGACATGGTTGTTGAAATTGAGTCAGAGATTCCTGCAATGAAAACCGAGCTGAGAAAAAATAAAGATAATTTGTTAAAGAAACACAATCAGATGAAAACATATGTCAAAAAACAAAACTCCAGGGTCAAAGAAGAAATGGCGCTTCACCTACAAGTAGAATAAAATATCAGGTCTGCAAGTCCCAAAGCAATAGAGGCGTTCAAAGTCAAGGAACGGAAAATTCTTTCTGACCTGAAAAAGATGTCTATGTCTGACAAACACATTGGACAACTGAAAGCAGACATAAAGTCCGGTGAGATGTCAGTACAGATGTACCAACAACACACTGAGCTGACAGACCAGGTTCTACAGTCTGAGTGTGACATGGATGCGTATGAGATGTATCAGGGATGTGAGACTGGTGATGTGGAGGCTGTCGGAGTCGTAGACGTGAAGGAGAAGGGTTGAATTGGCAGGATAACATTCAGACAGGACACGGACAAGCTGAGTAGAACACTGGAAGATGTCGACCAGCAAGCAGTACTGGGGTATAACGTCTCTGACACCATCAACACTAGCAGCAAGTTCCCACTCCCCTCCCTGTGTTGATATGCTGGATATGTCAGGACACGTGTTAAGGTCAGTTTGTTCTGGTCACAAAGGTGGAGACATCTTAAAGTTCCCCAACTTCCTCTGTACCACGAGGACAGGAAAATATCCTGGTGTCTGACATTGGAACCAAGTGTGTCGTGTGTCTGACCCCCGAGGGAGATGTGGTGTTCAAGTACAGACGTACAGGACACATAGCACTGAAGGATCCACGTGGTATCACAAGTACCAGCACAGGCGACATCCTGGTGACAGACTACTCACAACACAGAGTCATCCATCTGACAGAGTCAGGACAGTTTGTTAGAAACATAGTGACATCACAAGATGGTTTCCACCATCCATGGGGACTGTGTGTTGGTGGTCGTAGTTGTATGTACCTGTGTGCATTAGATGGAGTGAAGGTGTTTACATGCTGTAAGTGAGTGAACGTGTCACAATCCTCTCTTTACATTATGTATAGTTATATGGTACTATGGTACTGTAGTCTACCTGCTCTACATCTGTTGTCTACCTGCTCTACATCTGTAATGTACCTGCTCTATATCTGTTGTCTACCTGCTCTACATCTGTAGTGTACCTGCTCTACATCTGTAGTCTACCTGCTCTATATCTGTTGTCTACCTGCTCTACATCTGTAGTCTACCTGCTCTACATCTGTTGTCTACCTGCTCTACATCTGTAGTCTACCTGCTCTACATCTGTAGTCTACCTGCTCTACATCTGTTTTCTACCTGCTCTACATCTGTAGTGTACCTGCTCTACATCTGTAGTCTACCTGCTCTACATCTGTAGTCTACCTGCTCTACATCTGTAATGTACCTGCTCTACATCTGTAGTCTACCTGCTCTACATCTGTAGTCTACCTGCTCTACATCTGTAATGTACCTGCTCTACATCTGTAGTCTACCTGCTCTACATCTGTAGTCTACCTGCTCTACATCTGTAGTCTACCTGCTCTACATCTGTAGTCTACCTGATCTACATCTGTAGTCTACCTGCTCTACATCTGTAGTCTACCTGCTCTACATCTGTAGTCTACCTGCTCTACATCTGTTGTCTACCTGCTCTACATCTGTAGTGTACCTGCTCTACATCTGTAGTCTACCTGCTCTACATCTGTAGTCTACCTGCTCTACATCTGTTGTCTACCTGCTCTACATCTGTAGTCTACCTGCTCTACATCTGTTGTCTACCTGCTCCACATCTGTAGTCTACCTGCTCTACATCTGTTGTCTACCTGCTCTACATCTGTAGTCTACCTGCTCTACATCTGTAGTCTACCTGCTCTACATCTGTAGTCTACCTGCTCTACATCTGTAGTCTACCTGCTCTACATCTGTTGTCTACCTCCTCTACATCTGTAGTCTACCTGCTCCACATCTGTAATGTACCTGCTCTACATCTGTAGTTTACCTGCTCTGCATCTGTAGTCTACCTGCTCTACATCTGTAGTCTACCTGCTCTACATCTGTAGTCTACCTGCTCTACATCTGTAGTCTACCTGCTCTACATCTGTAGTCTACCTGATCTACATCTGTAGTCTACCTGCTCTACATCTGTAGTCTACCTGCTCTACATCTGTAGTCTACCTGTTCTACATCTGTTGTCTACCTGCTCTACATCTGTAGTCTACCTGCTCTACATCTGTTGTCTACCTGCTCCGCATCTGTAGTCTACCTGCTCTACATCTGTTGTCTACCTGCTCTACATCTGTAGTCTACCTGATCTACATCTGTAGTGTACCTGCTCTACATCTGTAGTCTACCTGCTCTACTATATATGTACGGTCCTCTCAAACCCCCAAAATTGCTTCTTTCATGTCACTCTCCGGTTTGGGTTTGTTTATTTGTTGTTGATATCTCACACAAGGGTACACTATCACACAAAAACAAACACCTTTGTTTCTTTACCAGTCTATTTACCTTACGGTTGATAGATCATGGTCATTGTGCCTTCTTAGCGTTATACTTTCATCCCATATCCGCTGTGACTTCCTTCCGTGATTCATGGCAGTTCGTGGATAACAAAAAGACGTGTCTACATTTCTTTTCTAAGTGTAAACATCACATTTCAGAAATACGCATGAATGAAACTGTTGCAATATTTACTAATAATTACAAGTTGTCTACAAGTAGTTACAATTCCTGGATGAATAAGTACACGTGTAAATGCATATATATGGTAAGTCTACTCTACCACTAGTCGTAAGGCTACACTACCACTAGTCGTGAGGCTACACTACCACGAGTCGAAAGGCTACACTACCACTAGCCATAAGGCTACACTACCACTAGTCGTAAGGCTACACTACAACTAGTCGTGAGACTACACTACCACTCACCGCGAGGCTACACTACCACTAATCGTGAGGCTACACTACCACTAGCCATGAGGCTACACTACCACTAGTCGTAAGGCTACACTACCACTAGCCGTGAGGCTACACTACCACTAGCATTGAGGCTACACTACCACTCCACTACCACTAGAAGTGAGGCTACACTACCACTAGTCGTAAGGCTACACTACCACTAGTCGTAAGGCAACACTACCACTAGTCGTAAGGCTACACTACAACTAGTCGTAAGGCTACACTACCACTAGTCGTGAGGCTACACTACCACTAGTCGTGAGGCTACACTACCACTCCAGTACCACCAGTCGTGAGGCTACACTACCACTAGTCGTGAGGCTACACTACCACTCCACTACCTGTAGTCGTGAGGCTACACTACCACTAGTCGTAAGGCTACACTACCACTAGTCATGAGGCTACACTACCACTAGTCGTGAGGCTACACTACCACTTCACTGCCACTAGTGAGGCTACACTACCACTAGTCGTAAGGCTACACTACCACTAGTCATGAGGCTACACTACCACCAGTCGTGAGGCTACACTACCACTAGCCGTGAGGCTACACTACCACTAGCCATGAGGATACACTACCACTCCAATACCACTAGTCGTGAGGCTACACTACCACTAGTCGTAGGCTACACTACCACTAGTCGTGAGGCTACACTACCACTCCACTACCACTAGTCGTGAGGCTACACTACCACTAGTCGTGAGGCTACACTACCACTAGTCATGAGACTACACTACCACTAGTCGTGAGGCTACACTACCACTCCACTACCACTAATCATGAGGCTACACTACCACTAGTCGTGAGGCTACACTACCACTGGTCGTAAGGCTACACTACGACTCCACTACCACTAGTCGTGAGGCTACACTACCACTAGTCGTAAGGCTACACTACCACTAGTCGTGAGGCTACACTACCACTAGTTGTTGTTGCCTTACATTGCCTTTGCTACCTGCATGGACCCTAGTTGGAATTGACTTGGAAAGTTTTACAGAGTTTTATGGATGTCAACTTCTTTATTGTGAGGAACACAACGTTTCTGAGTATATCCTTACTCCTTCATCTGGTGAATGAATGATAAGAGGCAGAGAGTGTATAACTGTACACGTCGGAATAAACACTGCATGTATCTATTTACAACACACACACACACGCACATGCACGCACACAATGTGCAGAGCCCCTTGTAATGTCCCCCGCAGTGATTTGGCTGGAAAATTGCTAAAAGCTTCGTGAAACCGAAACTCACTCAATGTGATAAAATATTCATTCGTTTGCTGTATTTTATTGCTCTTCATTGATATCATAGTCACAAGTTGGCAAAGCAATTCATGTGTATGCGTGCAATAGTAGTTTACTGTATCTAACTGGTGATCGGTTGGTCACAACGGCTGCTAAACCTTGACTAGTTTGGCTACTCTTGGTACCAATGAATGCGATCCCCCATCCAATACCGATTTAACCTCCACAGCTTATTACCTTCTGCGAGAGAATAATAACAGGTGTTGAATAGACATGCCAATATATACAACTTATATTCCAACTAATGTTAAAAATTCAGTAAAACAACTGCGAATCAAATCTTACGCTCTTACACTTTTCAACAAAAAAAAGAAACGCACGGGTGATTTTGAGAATATTGGACTTATGTAGGTGCGACCAAAACTATTTCTTTCCAAAACGCCATCTTTTTGTGATTGTAAACACGTGGCAATTTAAACTTTTTCCATTGTTTGGGAAGTTGAGCCCCATCCGGGATTCGAACTCACCCTCAGAGTCAGGCACCTAATCGCCAGCACACAAAGTCAGCCGCCTAACCCACTCAGCTACCGCGACTTCCACAAAAATGGAAGTCGGACAACTGGTAGTCTAGACTGCCGGCTTTGTGTACCCCTCTGATAAGTGTTAATTGGCACGGCTCCCACGGCCGAAAGCTATGATTACACAGCTGACTTTGTGTGCTGGCGATTAGGTGCCTGACTCTGAGGGTGAGTTCGAATCCCGGATGGGGCTCAACTCAAAAAGTACTAGAATTTGTACTTTACTAAGAAAGTGTAATCCCAAATATAACATATGTTACATTTGACCACTTTCTAAATGGCATTGTGAAATCATAGCTTTCGGCCGTGGGAGCCGTGCATCCACATAAATCGGGATAAATCTCAGTATTGAGGTCAAGAAGCTCATCAAGGAAGTAATGCAAGTAGACATACTACGCCGTGCTCAGTCTAAATATTGCAGTATATTAGGTGCCTGGATTTGAGAATGTGCCTGGAGATGACCTAATAGTTAGATGAACCATTGTAGTGTTACTTGTACACAGTAGGACAGGTGTGTGGCGTTATAACTGGAATAGCCCATGTGACAACACACTTACCTGAGGCATCAGCTTACCAGTGTAGATGGAAACTGAGCACCAGGCGAGATACATCCTTAAAGGTCACATAAACCCTAGGGGGTACAAATACATAAATCACTAACTGGCATCGTTATAAATGAAACCCCGTCATTAAAACTACTCATTTCGACCTTTAATTGACTTAAATCGACCTTTTTGACAACAGTGCACAATTCTCACCCGCGACTTGGCGAAAACGGAACCTTGACTTGGCGAAATTGTGATGAATTGTGATGAAATGTAATGTAATGAAATGATATTGTGATGTAATGATATTGTGATGAAATGTAATGTAATGAAATGTAATGTAATGAAATGATATTGTGATGCAATGATATTACAGATCCATCCTAGAAAGTACCATCATCGATCCACCTACAGTTCCGACTATCCAAGAAGCAAATTACTCTCTGGTGCAGACGGGATCCCAGAAGGGGAAAGAGAAACTTGTCTGCCACTTAGGATACACCTTTGTTTTGCGGGTAAGGCATTATAAATCACACCATATATAGAATAGCCATGAATTATATAAATTTATTAATATCTGTATAACAATATTATAACAATGTACCTATGTCATGTTTTCTTTTTTACAGAAAAGAAACGCAGGTGTGACATACTGGAGATGCAGTGTTAGGAACAAAACGAAGACATGTCCTGCATCAGTGATACAGAGAGGGGAAAAATTTTCAGTCGGAAAGCACACGCACAACCATCATGCAGAGCCGGGCATATTGACATCTGTGAAAGTTAGAGCTGAGGTGAGAACAATTAACTGCTTTGGGGGATTAATTAGGTGTGAGCTACTGAGAATATTTAATTGCTTCATTAACTTACTGCTTTGCGGGGATTAATTAGGCGTGAGCTACTGAGAATAGTTATTTTAATCTCTGTCTCTCTCACAGATCAAGGACAAGGCTGATATCTACAAGTCCGGCACATCCATTGTAGAAGATGTCCAGAGGGAGCTTATGGACCACACAGAGCCTGGCGGTCGACAAAAACAGTCAACACTAGTCCAAATGGCAAACAGAACCCGCGAGAAACTGCGACCTAAAGAACCTAAGGATCTTTCTTTCGAAGTAGGATCAATGTTAAGATTCATTTAACGTTTTGAAAACAGTGTTATGTTAATATTAAATGTATTTATATTTGTACCCAACTTCATATTGACGTAACATGTTAAATGTATTATCTAACACGTTGTATTTTATATTTTTAGCTTGCTGAGGACTTTCTGCCAAGAGGCTTTGTGAGGGCAGACATTGAGAACAAAGGCGAGAGGCACATACTCCTAGCTACTGACCAGCAATTATCCATGTTAAGCAGGAGCAGACAATGGTTTGTAGATGGAACCTTTAAAATTGTACGGGCTCCCTTCTACCAGCTGTTGTCTGTTCATGCTTTTGTGAGATCTGGACAAGATGCAAAGATGTTGCCTCTCGCTTTTGTTATCATGTCTCGTCGACGTACATCAGATTACGTGAAGGTGTTTCGTCGTTTGCTGGCCATCTAAACCAAGGGAACCTGAGGTGAAGACTGTCATCTTGGATTTTGAGCTGGCAACATGGAAAGCTCTTGCGAAGGTTCTACCTGCCGTCCGTCTTCGTGGATGCCTTTTCCACCTAACCCAAGCGGTCTGGAGAAAATGCAAGGAATTTGGTCTAAACTGATAAACTGATCGTGTTAAATAAAAACCAAAAAACTGGTAGTGTTTTGCTGTTTTTTTAATAATGTGGTTCCGTTTTCGCAGAGGAAATCGAATTGGTTCCGTTTTCGCCAGAGTGGTTCCGTTTTCGCCAATTGTTTTTAGGTACCGTTTTGACGCGGTTCCGTTTTAGCCTGCACCCGTAATTGTTCATGTTGACTCTTCAGCTTGTGATACAGAAGATCCGGGTTCGATTCCCCACGTGGGCACAACGTATATAGCCTTTTTCAGGTGTCCCCCCGCCATGATACTGCTAAAAGTGGTGTTAAATCACCCCTTAACTTTTCTGAGGAAGGTCAAGACTTCACATTTTTTTGTACTGACGTTTGATATTTAAGAGTTGCTACTGAAGTGTACGAGACGAGAATGTTGCTGTGTAGGTATTAAAGAAGGCGACGGGAGTCCGTCAGAATTCCTGGAATTCCGCACGTTGACCCTCATGACTGATTAATGTTGGCATGTGGTTAACAGCGTCACGAAACTCATGCTTAATTCTCCATGGGATTCTGGTTATGGAGAGACTGTCATACTGCAGGTGCTGATCGTCTTGAACAGAACGCAGTTTGCCGGTACACTGAACTCTCCCGTGTGTACACGGCCCAGAAACATCCTAGTCTACATGTTTTACACCTGCACGATCTTTCAAACCCACAAAGGCTTGTCATCCATCTCAGTCTCTGGATATTAAAAAGACGTCTACTTCCTCATTAAACACAATGCAGAAATATGCCCAAATGAAATGGTTGAATATTTATTAATAAATAGAAGTAAATACAACATCTGGAGGATTACTGCAGGGGTGGAAATAACCCACTGCCAGACGCCCGAGTCCAGCGTTTTTTTCTGTCGGGCAAGCAAATTTTTATATCACACTGTACCGTTGTCCAGTTGACTTTCCAATGTTAATTATGTTGTTTATTTAAAGAATCAACAAGAAAACGGTCGGTATAGTGGAAAAATCACAAGGGCAAGTGATTTTACATGTGCCACTGTACCGGAGTACACTAGCAATTTTAAAGTTATTTCCACCCCTGCAGTGATTACATGTTTGAGAGAAAGAGATTTTAACGTCATCCAGTCTTTGATGTCATCATTTTTAGAGTATTTAGACCCAACTCACTACTTACATTCGTAATACAACCTCCTCCCTCAAGACCGTCGCTACAAAGTTCCTATTGTGAAAACTAAGAGTGAGTGAGTGAGTTTAGTTTTAGGATTGGCTTTGCAACTGAGTGGTCAAAAGGAGATAAATCGTGATGAGATATATATGAGTGAGTGAGTGAGTCAAGTTTTACGCCACACTCAGCAATATTCCAGCTATATGGTGGCGGTCTGTAAATAATCGAGTCTGGGCCAGACAATCCAGAACTAGGAACTGATGACTTGTGTCAACCAAGCCAGCGAGCCTGACCACCCGATCCCGTTAGTCGCCTCTTACGACAAGCAATGGTTACTGAAGGTTCATTCTAGCCCGGACCTTCACGGGTGGGAGAGAGAGCATGTATATATGTACATGTAACAGCAAAAGAAATAAGACTCCAGGCCCTAGATTTACGAAGCTCTCTTAGTGCTAACATAGTCCTAAGTTAATGTTAAGGTATGGCACTTACGACTATCTTAGCGTTAAGAGAGCTTCGAAAATCTAGGCCCTGCTTTGTTATGGTGTTACTTTACTTGTTCTTCCATGTACATATATATGCTCCCTGACTCAGGGAGGATATACCTTGTGTTCCTGATAATAAAGAAGTTGACATCCACACATTATTGCTCTATCATAATTACACGTGACAAGGACAGTACTCGACAATGACAAGTCTGCATTCCTCTGTCACTTGTGTCCTAACAGTCTCTATCACTGTCTACAGACAAACGAAAATGTACCCCTTCTAACTATGAAATAACCTTACACAAGTGAGAAGCAATTGTACAGCTTTTTAACTGGTAATGTTTATCTACAAACAACCCTACCGACATGGCAGAGAGCAGTATTGAACAGTAAAAGAGACACTGGACACTTTGGTAAACCTAACTGTGTGGGTGGCAAACCTGGACTTCAAAGCCACAAAAAGTACACCCTATGAAAGTTCCCCACTGGCAACAAAACATATACATTTTTACCTGAAGACAGATCTCCTCATCGACAAAATCTCCAATCAGTTTTTTAACCTATACTTTGTGTTACATTTAGAACCTAAGGGGAATCATTAAGATTTAAATCCTATATCTGAAACATTGCTCTGATCATCTGATGTCACTAGGAATGTTAATCAGACTGCTAACCTGAGAGTTTACAAAAAAAAAATCAACTCTTGGCATCACTTTCAGTAATTTTTAGTGTGAACATACATAAAAAAGGATTATTTAAATCACGCCTCTTTGAAAACACTAAATTTGACAAGACATGGGCAACAGACTTTCTGCTGAATTTGGAGCCAGACAAAATATCCTGTCTATATTTTGCTACCATTAGTAATTCATTGTACAATTGTGATGATTTCTAGTGCATCAGAGATGATTCTGCAGGGGGTGTTTGTTAGGATCTCTCCATGATAGCTCGCTTCCTCTTCCTGTGATTTTGAACCATGGCTGACATCACCAGTTTCTCGGTTTCCCTCTTCTCCCATCGGAGGAAATTGTTCAGTCCCTTCTGTCCAGCACAAAACAAAACCTTCTCTGTCTCGTCCAGTCGCTCAGTCAGTTGAGAGTTGTCTTCGTTCAAGGCATTTTGGGAAGAATCCATTATTTTACGGAATCTAGACTGGAAAGTCTGTAAATAAATAATAACGGTATATATAAGACAATTTCAAAGTGTATGTATCATTCAGATAAAAGGCTTGGGACATAGTCAATCAATGGATATTAACAGTTACTTAAATCATATGACACAGGCCAAAAGATGTCACCGATTAAACATGTAAATCTTATCCATCATCTATAAAGTCAGTTATCAGTCTGGTTACATATCTTGGGCCAAATAAATCAAATGTTGTGGTTCCGATTACAGCTCTTTAAACTTTAGGGTAGGTAGGTAGGTAGGATTTTTTAAAATAACTAATAATTCATTTATCAATGTATAATTGTTCATTTAATCAAGCTTGAGGCCAGCATGTCGACTATCTCTATCAGAATGACTGATGTCCGTCGGTGACGGGGAATAAAAATGGCATCTGAATGCTTATTTTATTCATACCGCTTACAAAAAATAAGGTTGGCACCAGAACTCAAGGGCCGGTTGGGTAATCGGAACCAAAACGTTTTGTTTTAGGCCTTGTATTTGCTAGTGTCAATCCCTAACATTACATGTTAAAACAAAGTCTAAACATGGTAAACAACCTCAGCAGACACTGTAACAATGATCATGAATGTAATATGTTTCTAATAAAAAATCAAATCATTCCTCCAGACAGGTGGGTGTTTATATTTGCACTCAAGATAATAATAATAATAATAAGGTCATTTGTAATGAGCTGAAGTCTGCACCATGGAGGGGCACACTCAAAGTGCCAACAACCAACCTGATCAATATTATCCCGGATGGGAACGGTCAAAAGGGCTGCATGACAAAAGGGCTGCAAAAACGGAAAAGTCAAAAGGGATGCAAGAAAGTCAAAAGGAATGCAAACCCTTAGTCAAAAAGGCCGCATCAAAAGGTCAAAAGGGCCTCAGACCCCTAGACAAACGGGACCCATATACAAAACTTCATAGTAGCATCTTTTTTTTAGAAGTGTATTACAGTAAAAGGTTATACATCTATACAATGTATATTTTATGCATACTAGTCCTGTTTTTAATAGATAGTTTTTCAATATTAGAAAGAAAATGATGACTAGAAAGAATAGATGTATGTAATGGTTATTTATTAACAAAACACTTGTCATTTATGATTATGACAAATCCATACTAAGTCTTCATTTGTAAAGATCGCATTCAGTTTACACACTTGGTTGGTCCTGTCAGCCTCAAGCACAAACTCAGCAGTTAAGGCCCTTTTAAAATTTAACTAGGACCCATCCCGGATAACCCAAGCTGCCCGAGAGGCACTAGAAGGTTAATTAGGTTAATAATCTCATAACTTATCCACCAGATACCCATTTATTGTTATTGATATCATTATGATTATGATATGTAACAGGAATGTAAACAATGTTATTAATTGAAACAAACTGTCTGGTGCAGATCATGTCAGATAACCAGTATGTACTTTCTGACAACCAACAACTTTTATTACATTTCATTCATTTACCACGATTATGTCACAAATATAAAATTACAATGAGGTGCAATATTCCATTTTTCTATAGCATATGAAATTCAAACACAACTATGTAGAAACCAATTTGTCTATCATTGCAAATCAAAGCTATTTTGGAATCCTTGAATCTGGTACAGGCTGTGTCCGTTGCCCCATGTATGTCATGAGCTGCCTGATGCATGGAGAGAATGACCCAGCCAATTATGTGACCAATCGACTACCCTGGAAAATGCTCCACAAGTCAAAATGCTCCACAAGTCCCACTAGTTGGCCTGGCCTTCACATCATTTGTACATGTACAGGTTTTGCTTTGCTGATTCATGTGTGGATGGTGTGGAATACATTCTTAACTTGTCAGCACGCTAACAAAGGTTAATCTCTTCGATCATGTGGTTGAGGCATCCGACCTCATTGGTTATCAGATCGAAATTCAAATCCTAAACACAAGAGATGGGACATTTCATAGCCAGTACATGTTTGCCTGTTTGTAATTATGCCAAATGTAACCATTTGATGTTAAGGCTGAATTAAAAACATGTTGTGGCTCCGATTACGCCTCTTTAAAATTTAGGGTAGGTAGGTAGGAATATACTTTTTTTAACATTTTTTTAGAACTAAAGTACGAACTAATAACACATTTATCAATGTGTAATTGTTTATTCAACCAAGCTTGCAGCCATCATGTCGACTTTCTCCATCAGAATGACCGATGTCCGTCGGTGCCGGGAAAAAAACAATGGTATCGGAAAGCTTATTTTATTCATACCTCTTAAAGAAAAGAGGGTTGGAACCAGAATTCAAGGGTTGGTCGGGTAATCAGAACGACATTTATTTTGTTTTAGGCCTAATCATGTTTGTATCTGATTTACTACTTCAGTTCTCATCAGTTATTATCTTCAGGATAATACATTCATATCAGTACAGGTTAATATTTCTCACCTTCAGTAAGCACTTTGCTATATCAGTTCCCTCTGGATGCTCGAAGTTTAAGAGTTGTGAACCAAAGCTGTAGAAGATTGGTCCCAACTTGTGCAGGTCCACAACACTGGCGTCAGCAGACAATATTTCTCTGTAACCTTCCCTGTACTGTTTGGGCATTTCAACGCTAACAATGTGACGTTTACGACTACACAATGCTCGAGCCATCCAATATGGAAGTTCTATTTAAGAGTGTACTGGAATATTATCGCCTTCAGAACTTGGATCCAAATATCCTGCAACAAAATAAACCCTGCACAGTCATTTTAAGTTAATTACTTATATAAAGACAATGAATGCTCTGTGTTTTATTCTGCAACTGGTATGCTGGCACAAGTCTAGTAAATGTTCTAACTGACCAGAGAAATTGTCTGAACCATGTATGATGTGAACGTGCCAAATATGCAACATGTTTCTGCCACATGTGTTTACATGTAATCATTAATTATATTTCTGCTGTGAAACATGGTGAAATAGCTGGAATACTGTTGAACGCGGCGCTAAACAACAAACAAACAATTATCTCTGAACTGGGTCCACCTATTAATAAAGAGAGAAGGTTGGACTTAGCCTAGTGGTTAAAGTGTTCGCTCGTCTGGGTTGGATCCCAACATGAGTACAATCAGTGTTAACGAAAAGTGTCTGACGCTCTGACATATCCAGCTGATTCGCCAACATTCCGATAGAAGTCTACAACACGGCAGCCCCAGTGTCTGACTGTATATTTCACAATGACTTTGACTGAAGTTGTTATATGTGACATGTGACACTTGTACAATGTGCGATGCCCATTTTGGGGGAACCCCGCTACAGGCGGCGTAAAAAAAATTCACTCTCTAACTCATCATCATGATGAAGATAGTGAATGAATAATCATGATAACAAGATCCGTGAATTATTTCAAATACCTGTAAACACAAACACACAGTAAACATACATATGCCGAAATGTCAACATACGATTACAACCCGAGGGTGTCTAAATTTAGGACCTCCAATTACCTATCGGTATTTCTGAATCTTAGACAAAGCAGGTTGATTCCAAAGTCAAAACGTTTATCAGTACGCCAGAAAATATACTCACCTAAACGATAAATAGGCATTACAAGTTTACATGGTATTTTCTCCCGTGTTGCCAGTATGTCGTCCAGGGAGAAATAGTTACCCTCGGCCATTCCGTTGTATTAGTAGCCACAACCTGGTTCCCTGGGTCTGTTGCGCCTGCGCTACGCTCCGACACTGACCCAGGCAACCACTGCCGAATGGCGGCCTTCACTGCAGGGAGACGCGCCATACACTTACTATAGAAAAATCCGAGAACAGGTGGTTAGATTTTTTTTCATAGCATTTTCATCGATACTACGGCAAAGTATACGTCACCAGAACAACACCCATCGTTACTTTCAGTGTACGAACACGTTATTTAACCAGTTTCGAGACACGAAAATCGTCGTTACATGGGCGATATGTAAACAATGACACACATCCTATTTTCATCACCGACATGTGCTTTGATATTTCTTGTCAGCTCGCTATTGCCACGAAATCGTGCATATAAAACATGGATCTGAACGACCACACTGATTGAATATAGTTAGCATCTTTATTTTAGCAAATTTGATGACGAAAATATCGCCGATTATGTCCCGTGTCTTCCATCGTTTCAGGGTAGGTTTAGCGAATATATTTTTCGATCGCCTTGTGAAATTACAAGGTAAAGTGTTTAGATCATATGGATGATGATCGCCTTGTGAAATTACATGGTAAAGTGTTTAGGATGGATGATGTTAATGACAGGTTTTGTCATTCTGATATTTAGCCTCTACAAAACAACATGAAACAGTTAACATATATACCAATATCATTTAGAAATATTTATGATTATAATAAACATGGTGAATCAAATGATCTATATACAAAAATGCACACACATAAACAGCTCAAAACAATGAATTTGATACTTTATATTATTAAACTGAATATATAAAATACATGGTATGATCAGTATGTTAATACATTGGTATAACATATATGTGAAGAAGAACGTTTTAGACAAATGAACATTCCACTATTTGTGAACTGTTGAATTAAGGGTGATTTTTACCAAAGAAACCTGTCATGAGAAATGTAGTTTGTATGGCTTTAAGCCAGTATGAGAGTATACATTTGCTGTACATTGATTACTTTGAGCATGATAACCCTGGTGTTATTAGAATAGTCTGATACAAATCATCTGATATCAGCAATTATTCAGTCAGATGTCAGTTAACTAGTTGGGGAAAATGCTGCTATAGACTCTTTTCTTTACTTTATTTTACTTTACAGCAGTGCATGCATACATAATTCAACACACCATCAGTGATTTTGTTTTGGATTTTGGGTAATTTGCTCTGTACTTGTTGACCAGTTCACTATTGTGATTATATTTTTTTTAAATCAAAGGTTTATGGTGTGTATCTTGAAATTGTGTCTTTATGTAGATATTGGGTATTGTGTTAACACCTAAACTTATTTGGACTAAAGCACTAACTACCCTTTGTGCACAGAGTAAGAAGGCTGGTATGGTATTGTACAGATGTCAAAAGAAAGTTGAAAATAAACCATGTCAAGATTAATTATGATATTTAATACTATGATTTTTCCTACAGTGTGTAATGGTGCAGAAGTATAGGGGACCTCATACTGTAAAATTATTGAAGATATATAGCATAAAATGTGTAAACAGATTCTCAAAACAGCAAACAATGTTATGGTTTGGGGAGAATGTGGCAGAACCCCTCTCCAACTTGTGCACACCACAAGTCCTATATGGTATTGGTGCAGGCTACTGTATTTGGATGAACGCAAACTGCCTCGCCATTCCTCAAATTAAATAAATTCTGTTTAGACTCATTCATATTTAGAATATTCTGATTTGAATATGTGCGGTTAGCACAAGATGTGAAGATATTTATTCGCCTGATTCCTTCTATTAACAGCATTTTAAATCACGGTTAAATGTGGAAAGGAATCTTACACTCCATATCCCTGTACACCTAAGACTATCCATGGCTCTTTTCAGATGTAGTAGGTTTAAACTTCCAGTCGATTTTGGAAGATACACAAATGTCCCATACACTGAATGACTGTAAATATTGTATATTAAGGGGAAGATCTTTTGTTGAAGATGAGTTTCATATGCATGTATTGCTTGTATGTGAGCATTACTCAGCCATAAGAATAAGGTATGTATCTTAAACAATTATATGTACAGTCCCACACTGTAACATTTTTATCGGATCGATGCTCATGCTGTTGATCTCTGGATTGCCTGGTCCAGACTCGATTATTTACAGACCGACGCCATATAGCTGGAATACAGCCGAGTGCAGCCTTAAACAACAAACCAACTAACATCTTTTATCGAAATTCTTTCATCTGAAAACTTCGACAGACAAGACAACTTTGATGTTGTATATAACTCATGTCTATATTTATATTAAACAGCTAAAGGAATTGAAATAGATTGCGTGTTTCATGCAATCAAAGATAGTCTGTATTAAACTGTCTGTTTATTGTGATTGTAATACCAACAGGTTTCAAAACTGAATGTGCCCCATTCCCCACCCCTTTCCAACCCCAGATATAGCTACCTAGTTCTTATGTAATATGAAATGGACACATTATGAAAATTTAATAACTGTTTTTTACTAAACATGTCTTTAACGAACATGAGCCCCATATGGGAGTATTGTGTATCAGTTTGTTTTAGACAATGCGCACTTTCCTTTTTATGAGTCGTCTCTTTCAAAACAAGCTAAAACACACACAGTTATGCATATTTCATACTGTGTCCGTTTTCCTATGATATACAAAACTGTAGCTATGTATGGGGTATGGAATGGGGTACATTCAATATTATATATAAAGGTCCGATGTGTAATCAACTTCCCAGTAGAATCACGCAGATGTTGCCATGCTATGACTATTGTTAAACTTCAAGATCAATGCCTATTGCATAACCGTGATCAGCCCAATGCAAACTGGAAGAACAGATATGGATGTTATATTGAAATGATATATGCCAAATGAATACAAATAATAAATAGGCCATATTCTTCTAATATTATTCCATTTTTGAAAGCACATACATTGTTAAAAAAACATTGTTGAATGAATCATTTATGTGTTTCAAATGTTTTAGAAATAATAATTAATTTTGTTTGAGTGGCATTTTAGAAGTTGAGACGTACAATATATAACAAGTTTTATGGATAACAACTTCTTTATTTTCGTGAGTGCGACGTTTCGATACAGATTCTTGTACCGTTGTCAAGCAAGAGTGATACATGAAGTGTAGGAGCTGCATATATATACTGTATATAACAATGAAACAACATAATAGACAAAGGAAACAACATAATTGCCATGATTGGCTAAGCAGTAAGCTGATGAAGCCAGTAAGTACATAAAGGATAGTGAATGGAAGCCAGAGATGTAGTTACAATGAGATGTTTATACAATGGATGCGATGTTTATACAATAGACTGGGCTTGGTGGAGGAGTGGATCATAAGCAGATGGAATGAAGTATCCTTGGTCACGGTTGATGGTAGGCTTGTGGCGTTTGATGTGAATGGCTTCTGTGAGCTTGCGTTTAGTGAAGTCCGTTTGGTTGTTGGCGAGAATGGTGATGTCGGACCACTCTATTTGATGATTGGGGTTGGCTTTGATGTGGTCAGAGATAGCTGATTTGGTGTCGGAATTAGCAACAGAGGTGCGATGTTCTTTGACTCGGGTGTTGATGGGTCGGGATGTTTCACCTATGTAGCATTGTCCACAATCACAGTCTATTTTGTAAATAACACATTTCGGGTTGTTGTTGTTGACGGTGGGTTGTTTTCTTCCGTTGGCATGGAGGAGGTTGTTGAGGCTGGAGGACGCTGAGAAGGTAGTGTCTATTCCTGCCTGTTGTTTCAGGAGTCGGCTGATTTGGTGTGATGGTTTACCAATGTAGGGAATGGATATCTTGATGGGGGCTGATTCTGGTTTAGATCTTTTGGCAGGAGGTGAAAGCGTTGCTTCGATGGTTCTGTTGAGTATTTCAGGTGGGTAGTGGTTGCGTTCTACAAAGACTTTCCTCAGGTGTTCAATTTCTTCCTGTAGGTTTGTTGAGCAGATGTTTTTGGCTCTTCTGGTCAATGTAGAGATGACGCCGGTC